GGACAGTGGGATATCTTTGTAGACGGTCAGGTGGTCAGAAGGATATCTTTGTAGACAGCCAGGTGGTCAGAAGGATATCTTTGTAGACAGCCAGGTGGTCAGTGGGATATCTTTGTGGACAACCAGGTGGACAGTAGGATATCTTTGATCTTTGTAGACAGTCAGGTGGACAGCAGGACATCTTTGTAGACAGTCAGGTGGTCAGTAGGACATCTTTGTAGACAGTCAGGTGGTCAGCAGTATATCTTTGTAGACAGTCAGGTGGTCAGCAGGATATCTTTGTAGACAGCCAGGTTGTCGGTAGGATATCTTTGTAGACAGTCAGGTGGTCAGTAGGTCATCTTTGTAGACAGTGAGTTGGACAGCAGGACATATTTGTAGACAGTGATTTGGACAGCAGGACATCTTTGTAGACAGCCAGGTGGTCAGTAGGACATCTTTGTAGACAGTCAGATGGTCAATAGGTCATCTTTGTAGACAGCCAGGTGGTCAGTAGGACATCTTTGTAGACAGTCAGGTGGTCAGTAAGACATCATTGTAGACAGTCAGGTGGTCGGTAGGATATCTTTGTAGACAGTCGAGTGGTCAGTAGGACATCTTTGTTGACAACCAGGTGGACAGTAGGACATCTTTGTAGACAGTCGGGTGGTCAGTAGGACATCTTTGTAGACAGTCGGATGTTCAGTAGGACATCTTTGGAGACAGTCGGGTGGTCAGTAGGACATCTTTGTAGACAGTCGGGTGGTCAGTAGGACATCTTTGTAGACAGTCGGGTGGTAAGTAGGACATCTTTGTAGACAGTCGGATGTTCAGTAGGACATCTTTGGAGACAGTCAGGTGGTCAATAGGACATCTTTGTAAACAGTCATATGACGAGTACACACATGACGGGGGACAAAGTAACCACCCTGAAAATTTGATTCTGTTCCCAAAACCAGTACATTTATAGTTCAGTGTCTGGTTTTTCCCGAACCGTTTTCTGTCTCTACCAAATATCCACCTCCCCATAAATGCCGGACCCCCACCCCGTTCATAGTCTCCGGAATACTACGTAGTCTTGTTCTTGTTTTGAGCGGGAATACATGGCGATACCAGATACATATCGATGTTCTAGGATGTGTCTGAATACTGCTATCAACTTACTAATAACTTCAGCCAGGTGTTTTAATATTTAATTTAGGACCGAGGCTCCACTTTCTTCAACCTGCAGTGACACACCTGAGGGGACCATCTCAAAACCCATGCGATGTTTTAAAGTCGATTCATTTCAACAAGAGATGGTTAGAAACGCCATTAAGACTCTGTATAAACAAAATATCTATGAATCTCTCCGTACTCTAAAAACATATATGGAGACAAATCATTCTTTGACCATTTCAAAATATCAGTTATGGAAATTGCTACACCAATTTGGTTTCCGTTACAAAAAAGTAGGCTCCGACAATAGACATGCATTATGCGAGAGGTCTGATTGTTCGCCTAAGGAACCATTTCTTACGCACAATACGAGAAAAACGTTACGAGGGTTATGAGCCCGTATACTTGGACGAAACGTGGGTAAACGCTTCCCATACCACAGGAACACAATGGTTCCCTAGCTCCTCCTCTGATTTCTGTGCAGGAAATTGCCACTTGGCAAGGGTGAGCGGCTTATTGTGCTCCATGCTGGCTGCAAGAGTCGGGGATTCCTACCAGGCTGTTCGCTAGTCTTCAAGGCAAAATCCAAGGACAACCGAGACTATCATACCGAAATGAACGGAGCGGTATTCCTAGAATGTGTTAAAACTCAACTGCTACCGGTATTGCTCCCCAAGAGTCTGGTTGTCATGGACAATGCTCCATATCATGGCGTTCAGGTACCTAACACAAAAGCCCCAACGTCTAACAGTAGGAAGGGCGATATGACAGACAGACAGACAGATAAATTTATTCGATACTTTAGGCCACCGGCCCATAATACAATGGAAATATACTGTATATATATTTGCATGCTGAATAGATTTAATAATGATTTACCGTTTCCTTTCGATATTCATGACTTGGGAGAGAAATTTACCTAAGCTTTTTTATAATTTGTTCGTTTTCAGCTGACAAAAGTCTTATAAAATTCTCAATAGAGGGAGGGGTAACGAGACGCTTGGGAAAAGAGTTTCTTCTTGCTCTAGAATACTGGTCATAAATCATGAGAACATGGAATTCATCTTCAGCATGGTTATGTCCCTTTGAAAAACAGAAAGTGCATACACGTTCATTATATGGGATGTTGTTGTGACGCCCCAGTTCAACAGCAAGTCTGAAATTATTACACCGGAACATGGCTATAAGTCTACGTTGGTAAGAAGACATAACACAAGTAATATATGATTCCACATTTAGTAATGAATTGAACTGTGAGTAGTAATTGCATTTCGTAGATGATGACAGGGAAAAGTGCCAATATTGATTGAGGCAGTCGTAAAATCTTCGTTTAAAATATGTCATGAAATGTTGAATATTACCAATGTCTTGGTTTAGCCAAACAAAACCAAATCCAAACTGGAATAAAATCATTCTAATGTGTGATACAAGTCAAGTTTTAATCCATATCATCAAATAACCGCCCGTTTAGTACATGGACATCACGTGTGCAACATAATTTTGCTCGTTTGACACCGTAACTGTTGTGTCGAGTGTCATCCTTTGTTTTACGGGGAATATCGAACCCAGCAGTTGGATAGTCATCACTGTTCTCATGGATGAAGTTGAGGTCATCAGCTGGGATATAATCCAGAAATGTACGCATCCTTGCATTGAAATCTCCAGCAAGTAGTGGGTTATGATTGTTATAGATATTTTTGATTGTCTCAATATATCCCTCAAGACGACTTATTGGATCAATGTTAGCCTCATTATTAACAGGGGAGTTTTCAGGCGAGATATAAACACATATTGAAACTGAATCTTTTTTGTAATCCAAAATAACTTCTTTGAAAGTGCAACACAACACAGTCGATAAATGAATGACATATTCGACGAATAAGATTGTTCTTGATTAAATTATCTTTCACCAATACGGTTACACCACTACTGTAACGCCCACGTTGTTTATGTTTAGGTCGACAAAAGTTAAATGATTGAAAACGGACAATAGATCAAGTCATCTTCCTGCTTAACAAACGACTCACAGAAACTAATAATGTCGCATCTACTGCAGAACTGTTTAAAATCACTAAATGAAGAGCTCGCGTGTTTGTACAATCCATCAATATTCCAACTGAGAATACTACAACTTGTGCCTTGGCCTTTTCATCTCCATCTCCATGATATGATAGAATGGTTGACACACAAAGCAATACCGTATCCACAAAAGGCAACGAAACCTGTTCTGTATGATATTATAAAGTCTAATAAAACCTCACCTGTCTTTAAAGATGACGAGTATCTTAAAGAACATGGCCATTCAGTTTTGCGATTGCCGCCCTATCATTGCGATTTAAACCCAATAGAACTAATTTGGGGTACCATTAAATCGGATGTTGCCAGGCAAAATACAACATTCAAACTGTGGGATGTACAGAAACTGGTTCAACAATCAATAGACACCATCACGCAGGAAACGTGGCAAAAGTGTGTTGAGAAAGTTGAGAATGAAATAGAGAGACAATATTGGGATCATAGTGGATTGGACCATGCCACAATCAAGCCAGTGATCATCAGGGTAGACTCGGACAGCGGCGGTAGCGATTCGGACAACAGCGACACCGATTCCGAATGCACTGTCACGGCTTCAGAAACCTGCAACAGTGACTCAGATTGAACACCCAAAACGTCTTTTGAGATGACCCCCATATACGGTGCACATGGTTGTTCATTACCTGGCTGCTCCATGAGCGACTGGTCCTCCCTGGTGTGGGATGGCGATAAATGTCAACAATATGATGATCGTTTGTTGAACAGTTGTTTTATTCGGTTGTCCAAAATTATGAGACAAACCATCAGAGTTGGTCTGTCCAATTCATGTCGCTGTGCACATTTTGGTTTTGTTGCAATTATTGATTTTGAGTTAGTGAGCAATTCATCGGTCTCAGATAGAATCAAACGGACTGTACTTGTTTTTAAACATTATTTGTGTCCCTTAATGTATTCATTCCGGTTGAGATTCAGGGAAGAATTAGTCCCCTCCCTCCCATGCGCGTCACGGGAGGAGGCCGCAACTACAAGAGAGGATCGGCTGGTCAGTTTCGGTGGCTGTTCAAAACGTGTCATCGTACGACCACAAGTCGTTGCTGATGTATTCAGTCACTCACTAATCATAACAGACCCCCGCAAAATAGCTATGACATTGCTGATTGGGGCGAAAAACAACGGTCATACACTTATGTATATGTGAGCTTTTGTGTATTTAGATATGAATGTCCTTTGTAGTTTATATTCGACGTAAGCACTGTTACAACTGATAAACGGCAATGTCTTTGTGGCCTTGAACATAGAGCAGGGATTGCCGAGTGATTGAGGGTGACACATTCGTTGTGCCGAGTTACCTTATTGGCTCGCTGACCGTTCTTCCGAATCCAACATCAGAGATTTTGCAGCTGAATATCAAACCTTACCAGAGACGTAACGTCTATGATCTGCGTTCTTTGAGTTTCGATCTCATAACGTTGAGATGTTGGGATATCTTCTTTTTAAACTCACTGAATCTTAACCTGACACTTCCCCGGCCGCATCATACCAAAATACATTAAAATATAGTACTTGTTACCCTGCCTGGCGCATTAAAGGGCTAAAACAAGGACTGGTCGGCTAGGAATCAGTATACTGTGTCTGAGTGGGGTTTCATGTTAAACTGTAGCATGGTATCTCAGTGGCCTAGCACTTTCAATTCAGCATACTTCCGGTATAGCGCGCGCACGCACACAGGCACAGAGGCACACATCGCTATATAAGTGCAATGATATTGGACGCAACGTTAAACCCCATTTTTCCTCACGAAACGTTCAATGAAGAAAAGACTCAGAATATTATGAGTTAAGATTTTAATCAAATAAGTTATATTTATATATACAGATTAGAGCATCATTGCTTTTCAAAGTTAAATATAAATAATAACACGCTTCTATTACAAAATACAATACAATATGTAAAAATGTCGAGAAATAAATCAAACAAGAAAATCAATTCTTGATCATGAGTTGAACACCTGGGAGATAGTCACACTTCAAATCATTGACTGCATTGCATATTACGCACATCTAAATATGTACCATGTATATGTTATTGTGTTGTCAGGCTTGTTCTGATAACAGAACATGCTTCAAAGAAGGGCGATAACTCGTGTTGTTGAGATTTGTATTTGACACGTTACTCGTTAATAGGGACAAATGCGAAACGAATCCGATCTTGTGAACAATGTGTTCACAACACTGGGAATATGATATAAATGCGACTTTGGCAATTCGCCAGCATAAAAATGTTTAAATACATCGTCTCCAGCTTATGAGTGTTTTCTTGTTTAACGCTGCACTCAACAATAGTCCAGTTATGTGACGGCGGTCTGTTAATAATCGAGTCTGGAACAGACAATCCAGTGATTACATTCATGACCATCGATCTACTGGATACGTGGCATGCATCCTCCAAGTAAGACAGCCTGACCACCCAATCCCGATAGTCGACCCTTAGGACAAGCATGGGTTGCTGAACACCAATACTGATACTGATCTTCACGGGTTTCACCAGTTTATGAAACGTGTTGATGACGTCAGGCCATGCCGACAGTGTCCTGCTTCTCCGGCATGGTAATGTTCGTGGATGAGGTAAACACAGGTTTGGACTTGCTTCTGATGATGACGAAGACTATCTTGGCAATGAGAGCTAACACGCCTATCACTATGAGTACAATGGTGAAGATAGAGTTCCCGCGAGCAGCGTCAAAGTTCTTGGCCAGGCTGCCTGAGAGAGCCCACACGATGACGCCATAAGGCGTGATGGTATACCGACTGTATCTGTCGAATAGGAAGAGGTCGGTGATGACGAAGAGGAACAAGGCGGCGGTGATGAAGCCGAGGGAGATGGAGGACGCGGTGCTCTGGTCGATGGCGGGGTTAGCTCTGTAGGCAATCACAAAGCCCATGTTGAGGAAGGAAGCAATGGTGGTCCAAGCCGCATAGATTCCAAGCCCGTTGTGGACGAATGCACGCACTAAAGTGTCCTCAATCTTAAGATTGAGTTTAGCCAGGACCTCCATGTTGTTATCCAGGGAGGTGTAGGAGATCCACAGGCAGATGTACAGGGTGAAGGCAATGGCGAACAGGAAGCTGAAAGCCAGCTCGATGAGTTGGCGGTCAAACAGCAGGAGCCAGCTGATGTTGAGGAACATGTTCAGGATGTACATTCCGAAGAAGGCGGGGGGCAGAAGAACGGGGTTGAGGTAGAGAGGTCCTTCTGGACTCTTCCTGCAGATGCGGACCAATGAGTAGACAATCCAGACAGCCTGCCAGGCATAGATGAGGCCCCATATGCTGAAGGTCCAGCCGGCGGGAGTGATCTCGATGTAGAATACGTCCGAGATGTCCCCTGTGGAATTTAGGAAGACGCCTGCAAGAAACACAAAGTAAAAACATCCACAGCTTGATTAATGAGTCTTATATTCAAAATAACAACCCATAACGGGTTCGCACAGGAGTGCACTGAGCACAATTCAAACAAATACTGATCTTGTTACTTTAACGCTTTATCCGAAAGATTAACTACTTCAAATAGCCACATCAGATGAGATGATCATTGGACGCTTTTTACGTCTCAGTCGGATGACTAATATCTGATGGCAACGAAATTAACAGAAATCCATGATGCGAGGCTTCAACACGCAGCCACATCACCCGTCTGTGGCATCAGCACAATATAAGACCCACTTAGGAGCGATAGAGAGTGAAAGATTAAAGACAAAAATTAGAGACAAATCTTAAAGAGTCGCACATCACTATATTTTCATAATACGTGATATATGTTCGCCCTGTAAAGGTGAGTTGATTTTAACGGCGCTTTGAACAGTTTTCCAGTCATATCATGACGTTTCAGCAATGTAGTGGTGGGGGTGGTGGGGGTGGTGGGGGTGGGGGAAGCCCGTAGTGATGCAGGTCTAACATTAAACATACCACTTACATAGTAAAATAAACATGGACATACTACCACATTTATTGGTGTAAACACAGAAATACAAATTTTGCTCAACTGCTATTTGACATTTCAACATTTCAAGAAATTATAACTTTCCACATTATTTCTTCAATGGTCACTGAAGCGGACGTAGAATATCTTTATAATGTTCTTGTCAGAAGTAATAGCCTACTCTCCTCATCAGCGTTATTATACAACACATTTCACGTTAAATCAAAAGATAAACACACTCAAACAAATTTACCAAATGCATATATTTCTCATGGAAATTTCCCCTAATCCCAATAGTCCAAAATTATCACCACCAAAGACTCATGCTTGTCTACAGCACATAGGAAAGACATACCATGCGCCCACAGTCGTCACTGACCTACCTATGCTAGTATCTGACGCCAGTCCGTTGAAGGCGGCGGTGAGTATGAAGGCGAGGAGAGCCCCTACATTGAGGGCCTGCAACAACATTGGCGGGACCGACTTCATCATGGGCGATCACAACCACACCTGAAACACAACACCTTCTGATTATGTATAGCTTTATCATACAATTTGCTGCAACATTAGCCAAATGATCGGTCCATCTAGCTAGTGAAATCCCGTACACCTATCTGTCTACATCCATGTATATCCTTGGGTACAATGTGTGAAGCCCATTTCTGGTGTTCCCCGCTGGGATATTGTGGAAATATTGCTTAAAGCGGCGTAAAACCATACTCCCTCACTCCGATGTATATCCTGGGATGTATCTGTATAGCATATTTGGAGTAAGAGGTCAATTATACTAAATGAGGTAACTATAGTAACGAATAGATCAGTAAACAAACATTTAGTCCCAGAATTAAGGTGATCTTATTTAAAAATATATATGTACAAAATCCAAACTATAATCAAAATGGAGCCGGGGACAATGGTTAATTTCAGGGGTGAGGCAGTCAAGACTTGCCAAATTTGTTTTTAATTTATTCTCTGGGAAACACAAGGACTGACAGGTTAGTATATGAATTTGTCTAGTCTAGAATGGGTTAAACAGTTAAATAACAGTAATATTGAAAACGAATTATAGCATGACTATGGTATCGCGGTATCGGTACATTTCGTAATCCACATCACCTGTCGATTGTTTTCTTATGTAATTCTGAGCAGGATACTTCTTCACTTGACTCGTTGCGGTATGACTCGGCTCCTCGTAAGTATACACGTTAACATTTTTATGATAGTTTCTGGAATGTTTTGAAGTGGAACAAAGAAAAATAAACATTTTGAGTACGACATTCTATGAAGATTTAACACACGCATTTTAACTATATGCTGAATACTAATCGAGTTTTCTAAAATTGATATTACAAGGGGCGAGTTTTTGTGTTTCATTTATTACTTACCGCTTATAACCTTTTAAAACTTCATTTGATGGAACTGTGGGAGTCCCCGTCTTAACTAGGTCAAGCGGATGACAGTATGTATCCATAGTGTGTGACACACGGCATACTCCATTTGAGTTTATCAGAATAAAACGTCTTCAATTACTACTGTACAACGGAAAAAGAGACCAGCTGGATCGGATGGACATGCTCGCTGACTTGGTTGATGCATGTCATCGTATCCCATTTGCGTGGATCTATGCTAGTGTTGTCAGTCTCTAGATTGTCTGGTCCAGACTCGATTATTAACAGACCATCGTAAACGTGACCATTGTAAACATCAAACATACAAACCTAACAACGGCCTACACACCTTTAGATTTCCGCCCCGAAACGTCACAATACACTATGACGTAAATTGTTACAGTTTGTTGAAAGATACATAGGCGAACAATGCCATGTGACGTCAGCCTGCGTGGAGTCATCGAGTGTGCGTGCATAACGGTCTTATCTGTCATCTCTACACGTATAACATCGATGTTGAGAGTTTTCTATATTTGTTAACCTAGTTCCGGTGGTACATATACACGCGCTTTGGGATTAAACAATGTGTAAAACCAGCTTATTGTTATTTAGGTATCCCCTGTATAATGGGACACTTCCGGTGAAAACTACGACTTTTGCCGATGTTTCCAACATCGGCAATGTTGGGGTGATGTAATACCGAGTAAGAATTACGCCCCTTATTGTAAACAATCATGGCGACTGGCAGACAGCTGTGGTCGATTCAAAAAGGTGAAAGACCGGTAATCACACCAAAATATTAAAATCAAACGTGCTCATCCACCACAACTACCCAGCTTGCCATGTTTACTTTGGTGATCCTTGCAAGGACGACGACTGTCCTCTTTTTCGAAACACCAAACTCGGCAAATACGCAAGCAGAGATGGAAGGAAGAGCGAAGGATGGTCGAGCTCGGGGAACTTCTCTCCAATCTCGTCGCTTGCAAATTGGGCCCTATTCCATTAACGTATGGGAATATTGTCGGCGAGATGAGGAAAGGACTTAGCGGCTGTTTGTGCGTGAAATGTCAGACAATGTGGGCAAATAAACATGGTTCCATACGGGAAGACGCACAGGGAGAAGAAGGGGAAGTCAGGGATGCCATGTTTTGTTATCAACACAAAGCTTGGAACAGGTAAATTTTTATTTTTGTTTTACATTTAATTGACCAATAAAATGCTCTCAAAGTTTTGGCATTCCGATGATGTAAAGCACAAATATTGTCCTGTTTTCGATCATATATTTCAGCGTCATGCCTTTCTTATTGTTCATGTCACGATATCATGTTTTATTAATGTCTTATGTTGTCTTGTTTTTTCAACAAAAGGTAAGTAAGTATAGTAAGGCTTTTTTCCAGTATGCTTCAACATGGGAAAAGGGTCAGACATTGCACGCTTGTGACAGTTGTCCTTGTGTCTAGGGGGTGGGGGTGAAATTTAAGTCAGTATTGCTCCCAGACAGCTATGCCCGATTTATAAAAAGTATTGATTAAACTTAGAATTTTTACTGCCAACTATATGAACAGGCACACATCCCTCCCTCATTCCTAAAAATAATATTAGATACATTCTTATAATTATCATGATTATATTGTGGCTAATATCTATTTACAGCTATGATCGATAGCGTTGGGGGACCAGACAGGATGAATAATCTCCTTTCAACATTAAATATCAAACCAGAGAAGTTTAAAAAGCATGGAACGGAGGGATGGAGGCTATGTTGAAGCTGTTGCCAAAGAGTCGACTCAACAGGCTGCAAATGATTCATTTAGAATGGAGATGGAGTAAGTTCTATACAATGTCATAACAATGTTTGTTTATGAAACTAGTCATTTGTGTTCAAACCAATTGTTAATAACACAATGATACAATAGACATGGTGGATACTCTGAATCAAATGAATTCATTGTTTAATGACGACCGTGTGTGTAGATACTGGAAATCGTCAAATATAAACAAAGAATATCATCTTGTATAGGTGTCGGATATTCAAAAAAAAAAAAATTGAATTTGGAATTCCTGTTTCTCATTGTTGCTCCTGGTCTGGCTTTAACCCATCAGGTTTATTTCTCTACCAGATGCACCTCCTGAAATTAGGTTTATTCTTTTCTATATATTTTTAGTATGTACATGTATAGCTTGTGTTGAATAGTGGGAGATATGTTCAGATGGAAATAAGATTATTTTGAAAATATTCCATTGTACAATGTATATGCAACTATTGTATATCATTTAGAAACAACAAGACACTTTTCCATAGGTTAAATATTTCTGTGGGACATGGAAGATCAATCCATCAGATGGGACTGTAGAATAAGTTGTTCCATGACTGAAATTGTTTCAGCACATAAAAGAACCAATATTAATTCGGGTATAATACATGAAAACAATTTGGATTTCAATTTTTCATTTTTCAGATGATTGATGTCATCCCATTCCTCTACTGTACCAGTAGCTGATGCTAGTTCTGATGATGAAAGTGGACATTCTGACCAGACTCCTTAAGCATCTAACATTGAAAGTCTACCAGTCTCATCTTCAAACAGGTGAGAATTTTGAAAAAATTCAACTAATAGTTTTATTTGATCATGTAGCCAAGTGCATGATTGAGAGTTTAACCAACTAGGCAATCAATCAAAAAGTTGCCAGTTCGAATCCTAGCAAACCCACTTGATGATGCTTGTTGTGTCCTAAGACAAGTCACTTTATCTGCATTGTCTCAGCCCAGCCCAGCCCAGCCCGTTGTATATAGCCATCAACTTAGACTGCAGGTTTACCTGCAATGGTGCAATGGTGCACTGGTGTAACGTCCAAGCGGGAGGACCTTATCCCATTAGCACCATGGAAACCAGGTATAATCACCAAAACATGGGGCACATGCAAGTGGTGGTGGATGAGGAATAGACCTAGACTACCAATCCGAAAGTACAGATGTATCCTAAATCACTTCGGTAGTGCTCGGTTAATGAAATGTACTTCCAAAAGTACCAATCTCAACAGGTTACTGGTATAGTGGTATACTAGACAAAAGAAGTTAAGGATCACCCAATTCTTTTCTATTACTATAGTTAATCTCTCATGCCATTACAGATTAACTATAGTAATTTGAAAGAATCTGCTGATCCGTAACTTCTTTTGAGTAGTATACAATGACGGTCAATAGGAAACAAGTTCAGCCTGAAACTGTTCAGTTTGCAGTTGACAAGTTTTGTAAATGGCTCAGTGGGTTTCCCAATGTATTCCTTGTGGCACATAATGGAAGAAGATTTGATGTTCCTGTATTTTCATCTGCATTGCTAAACATCCAGTGTGAAGCACAATTTTTCAACTGTATCAGGTCTTATTGATAGCCTACCTGTCTTCAAGGCCGTTCCTGGACAATCATCATACAAGCAAGAAAATCTAGCCAAGACCTTTTTGCACTCATCATATGAAGCACACAATGCCATAGAAGATGTAAAGGTCCTTGGTAAGCTTGAATCTCATACAAAGATGAAAATTCAGGAACTTGCTAGGTTTAGTTTCCCACCATCAGCAGTCCACAATCTACTTCTCTTCAACAAAGAAAAGGCCAAACACATCAAAACACTCCATTCTCTCTTAGCCGAAGGGGTCATGAAAATGTCAATTGCCGAGAAAATTGCCAGATCAGGACTGAATCTTGGTCACCTGCGCAAAAATTTTCAGCGTGATAGAGAAGATGGTCTTGGCAATACAGATGTAAAGAAAACCCTTGCGGATGTCATTCCGAAATTAGTCCTCTTTCTCAACAAGGACTATACCAAGCTTACAATCTGGTTGTGTGTAAGGGATGGTTTGGTGACATGCATTTGATACATGTATTGTTCTCATTATAGTACACATATTCATTTTTATCCCCTCTGCATATAATGCGGTTGGATATTGTCATCTGATCTGTCTGTCCATCCATATTTTCGGAGCATACTTGAAGACTGTGAGATATGTTTTATTCGAATTTGGTTCAAGTATTAACAAGGGGATTAAGTGCTGCCTTTTGCTATTTAGGGAATAATTATTTTAAAAAATTTTTTGTTCCTGTTTTCACGTTTTTTTACTTTGACTCTGTTTAGCATGGTTTATGGTGGTTTGTTTGTGCAGCCCATATCTCTAAAACTAATAGGTAAAAAACTAGGCTTAAAACTGTGCACACACAAAGACCAGGTTGTCAACAGGTGCCTTTTTCTAATAAACCTTTTTTATTTTTTTATATATTTTTTGTTTCCATGGCAACAAGTTTGATTTTGACTCATAGTGGTGTGTACCTGACACAGAAATACAAAGTTCCGAATCCCAATTCCATCTTATTGTTTTGATAGCACAATAACTACTCTTTTATACGGACAGACACATTAAATGGAAACAGATGATTTGTTCTTTCAAATTTGTCATCTTCTGATGGTTATGTTAGTCAGAAATTGTTTCTGTGCAGGTCTGACTGATAAACTTGATGTTGATGTATATGTGAAAATAGAAATGCTTGACGACATGCTTTTGTTGTCTCTGGGTGCAGATGTTCATGACCAAAAAAAGGTGATTATGATACTTGGGAATACATGATACTGTCTCTTTGAATTTTAGAGAAACACCTTATGTATATATATGTACTAGACACATACGCTCTTCTGCTCCCAATTTGTACATTGTAAATTGTGTATTCATGAGTACTGTATTGCATGCTTTCAGTGTATATGGTCACGTAATATAGATAATGTGTTGTAAAGAGTGTATTTGTCTATCTATCATCTTCACTTTCAAATCTGTTAGTAATACAGAAATGTATTTATTCATTCATATCTTTATTAGAGATGACTCATTGTTACTGGTAAAAGTACATCATGTTTTGGTAAGAGTCAAAATACATGACCAGGGTTTTTTATGAAAGTACATATCATTCACACACATCCATACACACATTCACACTCACTAGAAGCTTTAGTACTTATGAAGACAGAATGCAGGATATATATTTAGTAACGTTTTGGAATAGCAAATGTTTATATTTTCAAAAGGTTTTCATAAGGAGCCCATTCCGTATAGAATTCAGTCTGTTTGGCTTTATTAAAGTGTCTATATTTTTCTATTTGGTAATAATATTTAACCTCATTTTGGAAATGTGTAATGGTTGGTTGGTTATTTTTCATCTATAAATGTGAAATTTGGCCAATAAGAGTATCAGATAAAAAATATCATCGGTATGGAAATGTTTTGAAAAGCCAAAAAGAATTAGGTCTGAAGTAAGATTTATCTTGCCAGTATGTGGACACTTGGATTCAATCCATTGTGAAAATCTTTTCCAGAAGTTTTTGCTTAGCCTACAGTCCCAAAACAGATGTTGGATAGATTCTGGCTCGGCATTACAGAAAGTGCATAGACAGTTGTCAACAATATGCATCTTGAGTAGATAAGTATTAACAGGTAGAATTCTGTGGAGCAATCTAAGCTGAAAGCATCTAAGTTTAGGGCCTGGAGTAGTTTTGTGTGCTCTGATAAATAAGCTAGGCCAGTTCATATCCATTAAAAGTTCCTCTTCCCACTTGTCAATAACTTTTAAGCTTTCATCGGTTTGACTTATTACATAGTAGTATTTCTTTGAGCCTTTTTTACATGAAAAGAGATTGGCAATAGATATATTTGTATTGTTTGTTGTTTCCAGATGCAGGTCTTTATTAATGCCTAATTGTATCCTGTATGTATTTACTGATCTTGTAATACCATAAAATTCAAGAAAATTTATATTGAAGTATTTCTTACAGAATTGTTGCAATGTCATAAAATTTCCATCATTGCTTAGCAAGCAATGTATGCTGTGTATGTTATTGAGATGAAAGGTTTTGTTATCTAATGATTTGCCATTTATAATAATATTTTTATTGTATAGCAGAGGTTCCCTCAGGAACTCTTCATAATTATTGGGTTTTATTTTATTGCTATATTTAGAAAAGGCAGTAAAACAATCTTTCCAAAATTGTTTTTTTTTTTTTTAGCAAGCTTAAGTGGAAAATCACTTCCCATAAATAGTAAATCAGGAAATTCAGGAGTAGTATTAGTCATTAAAATTTTCCATTTCTTTTCCAAATCAACATTTAGTAACCTTTTTTATCCAGATTATTTTCAAAGCATCAACATATGCAAAAATATTTATCATACCAAGTCCTCCAAGGGAAATAGGTTTACAAGCAACTGTTCTCTTTATTTTGTCTGGTTTATTATCCCATAAAAACTTGAAAAGAATAGTATTTATCTTTCTAAGGAATTCATCTGGGGGACTAGGAAGGGTAAGGAAAAGGAAATTAAGTTTTGAAATGAGCATTGATTTGATAATTGTAATTTTGCCTAATGGGGTTATAATTCTTTTCATCCATCTCTTGGTGGTTTGTTCAATTTCAAAGATTTTGCTTTCAAAGTTAAGTTTAATCATTTTATCTCGATTAGTAGAAAAAACTCGTTGACATGTACATGGGTTTGACATTTCAATTGTGTAATTTTCCAAAATAATCCCCACAACTTCACATTCTTGAGTAGTATTGTCATTATCGTAAAGGACAATTTTTCACAAGTTGAGAATACAGGGGGAAAATCCAAGTGCTTTGTGAGAGATTTTCTTTATTTGAAGTAAATAATATGTAATTCTCACATGTATTATTCATTTAATCTTTATCTTCATTCCATGCTGCAATATTATAACATTTCCGGGGTGAAATGACACACGAGACTTGGTGTGTTTTTTTATGTGAACTGCTGCAAACACACGGGGGGGGGGGGGGGGTTATTAGGATTGGGGTCATAATACTAATAAATAATGGTAAATTGTTTTTCTTATGTCTTGTTTTTATTTTATAGTCACTTCAGACGTTTTTAGAGAAGTGTTTTCATATCTCTGTGTCTTGTTTGTACTTCCAGAGCAATAACAACACTGTCTCAATTGAAGATAGACATGGAAAAAACAAGCATTTCTAAAGTCTAAATACAAGTTCACATGTTGAATGCCTCAATAAACTACTTCTGCATTGAATTTACTGCTTATATTTATAAACTTACATGGTTTCCCTGCTGTTTAATGAAACAGATTAACTGAAAGGTAAATACTGATAAAACTTTAGAATTAAATCCAGGGAAGGATGTAGATGATATAATAAAAGAAAGTGTTTCATGATATTCAACACTGCCCATTATACAGGGAATACCTGAACAGAGGTATTTCGGCGACAGAGTAATAATGTATGTTATTACATCCTACTTTTATTGACTGATTTAAACCAACTTGTATTTAAGTCAAGTATTATAAGCAAGAACGCTTTATAAAATTTATAAATGAAAACAACTATTTAATTCATGAACAGTATACTGGCGTACCATGTATATTACAATGTATGTAGGATATTGTGGCTGAACGTTACTTTTAAATTACATGTCCATTCTATTTTGGGCATATACCTAGCTTATGTAACCTGAGACATAAATAAACTATTTATCTGTCAGTATTTACCTGCTATACACGTGTCTATCAGGGTGTGAACACCATTACTGACTGGGTGTGAACAACATCACTGACGCGATGCATCCAGTGTATGCAGTGAAGTGTGTCGTTACCGCCCTGATCTCAGCATACTGACGCTTACCTTGTAAACAAAGTCGTTATCAGTGTAGTGATTTTATCATTGCTACCAACATGCATCGGAGTGATTTTATGTATCTTATTTTGCAACCAAACCTAAGTGAAGTAATCAGCTTGACTGACAAGACATCGGAATCCTAATGACTTAAAAGAA